TCGATCAATCGTCTTACTTTAAATATATTATTATATATATATTAAATATATACTCGATGATAAAAAAATTAAAATAAATATTCTTCTATGATATTCAACATTAAATCCTGAAACTAATTCAGATTTACTTTCGATTAAATCAAATGGAGTTCGATTTAATTAATATTCTAATAAATATAATGGATATAATAAAATCGAAAATTTAATTTTATTCTGATAATTAAAAAATTCGTAAAAATCTTTCAATTAATATTATTAATCTAAATACTATAAAAAATAAAATTGAATAATTACAATTAGAAATTCAAGCAATAAATAAAACTGGATAATACTCTTATTCCTAAAATTAACATTATAAATAAAATTCCATAATTTGATATATATATATTGAATAAATTCATGGATATAAAATTCAAATTATTTATATTTTGTCTTACACTTTGTTAAGTCTCGCGTGGAAAAATTGTTCGTGGAAATCGCGAAAAAAATAAATAGATATAAAGAAGAAGAAGAAGAAGTTGAGCAAGGTTGGAATACTATTTTTCGACTGAAAAAATCAACCCTTTCTAATCTCCATTTCCGGTGACCCTTGGCCTGAAAACACGCGCTTCGTTATTCCGACGCAGCATTGCGTGTAATACCGGGAACACTGGACTGGTTATTTTAAATACAAATCCTCTGGTTTTTATTAAATACAAAAATTAAAATTAATCCTTCCAAGGTAATTAAATATTTGCAATGGTTCGTTTCTTTTCCAAAAAATAATAAATCTTCTAAATTATTATTTTTTTTTTTTTTTCATGGAAAGAAAAATATTCCTCGAGCGAAAATATTTTATTCACCGAAGAGAGAATAATAAAATTTTTTTCCACGTAAAAAAATAAATAATATATAGGAATAAATGTTTGGAAGGGAAACAACCGAGTAAAAGTTTTTTTCTTTTCTTAACGCGGAATAAAGCAACGTTGCGGAAACCGAATCGAAAGTAGAGTCGCTCTAAATGAGCAACGACCATAACTGTACAAATATCGTCTTGCCCGCGGAAAATTATAACTTTTCCTTCTTTCGTATCGAAACGTAACAACCGTTGCAAAACGGTTATATATTTTTCACTGGAACTCGCGTCTCGTTGTTACAAGTTGTAATTTGTCCCTTTCTATCCATTTTCTATATAATAATGATATAGAAAAAAAAAGTCGTTAGTCATTTATTACTCATCGTCGCGTTTTAACGATAATTCGTCTTATAATCGGGCAATAAAGATTATATTATTATATCGAGTTTGCTCGTGTAAGTGAAATGATCGCTTATTCCTTGAAACTAGCCGTACTAACTTACGATTTATGTAATTCGTGGCCTGGAACGCGTGCATCGCGTTATCGCACGATCTAACGTTGAAGAACCACCATATATGCAACGTATATGTATCGCGAATAGTGATGTCATGCACTCGTGGCTTCCGCATCCGCTCTTCGATAATTATTCGTCGACTATGTTCGTCGCTAGCCACGCGGTGACCCGTACGCCTGTACGTGTATAGTGTACGTACTCGTTTATTCACACGTATTAATCTTCTTCTGTATTCTTTTCTTTCTTTTTTTTTATATATCGCGTATTGCACTGATATTAATTCAAGTGTTTTTAAATATTTATCTTCTTCAGCAAGCAACACTTTTTTCACTCGTCTTTATCTTTTAAGTTAAGGATAAAATTTAAAAATAAAATTTTCGTGGAAATTATTATGAATCATTTTATATTCGTATAATTTGAATTTTTTTTTTAATTTTGGGTAAAGGATACTCGATGTTGTCTAAAGAAGCTGGTTTCACCCTTCTTTTTCCTAATAATTAGATAACTTCGTTACCGTAACGAGAGCAATTCAAACATAAGGGGAGACTGTTATAAATGTTTGAGTGATTAGCGTTATGATTCTTAATTAAAATTATCAGGGAAGAGGGAAAATTTGAATAACTTGATTAATCGATAATGTTATAGACATATAGTAGTTAAATAAATTTTATTCACGAATCAAAATGTGAGAAACATTTTTTTTTTTTTATATAGTTAAAATAATATTGTTTAAAAGTAAAACGTAGAAACATATATATATCTCAATAATTACACACCATTTAATTCTTATCTGAAAATTATTTCAAGGTAGCTTATATAACTTGAATTATATTTCTAACGTAAAAAAAAAAAAAAAAAAACATTTGCATTGTATAACTTATATTTTTATACCAACAAGCATAATAATTGTGACCAGATAATTGTATAGATAATTTTCATTGTTTTCAACGTTGTGTAATGCAAATCGAAGTAAATTATTTCGTATGAATTATATGAGTTGTGATTTCGTTTTTGCGTATAGAAAAAAAAAAAAAGAAAAGATGGAAAACCAACTCTTTGAGTATCGGCCTTTTTTAAAGTGGAACTTTAATTTTTTTTTCTCCTGTTTTAGGCTTCGATGGATTTGCCTCCGGACAAAGCGAAGCTTTTAAAGCAGTACGACAACGAGAAAAAATGGGACATCATATGCGATCAAGTGAGTATACGATACACGATCGATCGATCGATTCACGATTCAATCTGATTATTAAAATTTCGTTATTATTATAAAAAAAATATTTTCTTATTACATTGTATCCAAATTTATCCAATTTTGGATAATCGTCGGACATTGATTATTATTAAAATTTTGTTATTACTATAAAAAAGAATATTTTCTTATTATATTGTACCCAATTTTGAATAATCATAGTATTAATTATTAAAATTTTGTTATTACTATAAAAAAAAATATTTTCTTATTATATTGTATCCAATTTTGAATAATCCTTGGGTACTGATTATTAAAATTTTGTTATTACTATAAAAAAAAATATTTTCTTATTATATTGTATCCAAATTTATCCAATTTTGAATAATCCTTGGGCACTGATTATTAAAATTTCGTTATTATTATAAAAAAAAATATTTTCTTATTATATTGTATCCAATTTTGAATAATCCTTGGTAGTGATTANGTATTCAATTTTGAATAATCCTTGGACACTGATTATTAAAATTTTATTATTATTGTTATTATTATTATTATTGTTATTATTACTATTGTATTATTATTTTATAAGATTATTGTATAAGAAAGAATATTTTCTTATTACATTTTGGATACAATATATTCAATTTTGAATAATTCTTGGACACTGATTATTAAAATTTCGTTATTATTATTGTTATTATTATTATTGTTATTATTATTATTGTATTATTATTTTATAAGATTATTGTATAAGAAAGAATATTTTCTTATTACATTTTGGATACAATATATCCAATTTTGAATAATCATTGGGCACTGATTATTAAAATTTCATTATTACTATAAAAAAAAATATTTTCTTTTTATATTGTATTCAATTTTGAATAATCCTTGGGCACTGATTATTAAAATTTCATTATTATTATTGTTATTATTATTATTATTATTTTATAAGATTGTATAAGAAAAAATATTATTAAAATTTCGTTATTATTGTAAGAAAGAATATTTTCTTATTATATTTTAGATACAATGTATTCAATTTTGAATAATTGTTGGGCACTGATTATTAAAATTTCATTATTATTATTGTTATTATTTTATAAGATTATTGTATAAGAAAGAATATTTTCTTATTACATTTTGAATATAATATATCCAATTTTGAATAATTCTTGGACACTGATTATTAAAATTTCGTTATTATTATTATAAAAAGAGAATATTTTCTTATTACATTTTGGATACAATGTGCCCAATTTTGATCGTGGTTTATGATAAATGCCGTTGGCGAAATTGATATCACGCTGCCTTTATAAGAATGACGTAATCAATCTTTAAGTTGACGAACTTATTGTTAATCAACGCTCTCCGAGATCTTTGCCCGCTTCGTACTCGTTTAATTCCACATTGGCCAATGAATGCGGGTCCACGACCCTTTGCTTCGTGTATCGTCCCACGATCCTCTTTCATCTTATTTATTTATTTCGTTCAATTATTATATATTCTAAGATAGAAAAATTAAGTATAAACTATTAATCAAAATTGGAACAATGATAAATTCTTTAGAATGAATAAATAATTTGGGTAATAAATGTTATTTTAAGAAAATAATGTGTTAATTTTGAAGAGGAAATATATACGTTTATTTTTTTTAAAACCTCGATGTCAAAATTATGGAAAACGTTTAATTCTTTCTAAAAAAAAAAAAAAAAAAAAAAAAAATACAAGACCCGTTTCATTCTATATATAGAGAGTGCAGACGTTTAATAAGTGAAAATACGACGTATTCGTCGAGCAGACGCTATATATGTAATCGTTGCTTGCGTGTCTGCTGCTGCTGCGCGAGGCTAATGCTTAAGTGGGTTTAATCTCGAGTTTAATCGAGGGTGAGCAAAAGTGTCGTCGAACGAGACACCTCTTCTGAAGGGCGTGGATTATGATAGGCAAGTTAAACACTTGGTAAATTTATTGTATCGGAAGAAAATTTTTCCCTTCTGTTCGACAATAATTAATAAATATTCATTTGAACGCCCTCGTCGATCGAACAAGAACCAAAGATCTTTAAATACGTTTCTAAAGAGTTCTAACGTGGAATTTTAAGGAATACATTCGGTTTAGAAATAGCGAAGGGAGTTATAAAGGATTTCTGTAAAGAGTTGAGGGAAGGTTTTTGCGGTTTAGGTTGACTACTTGCCTCGTTAAACCGAGAAGAGCGGTTAGCAGAGTATAGGGTGGTGGAACTCGTCTCGAGTGGAAATTACTCCCTTTTCTCGTCGCGAGCTCTGCTATATAGAGCAGCGCACGGTAGAAAACGCAAAATGGATTTCACGACTCGTCTGGATCGAAGAGATGCGCGAGACGAGGTTAAAAACACCCTTTAAATTCGAGATGTAATATCATTTTTTATTGTATTTGTATATTTTCTTTGGGAAAGAATTAAAGAGAAAATTTTCCTATAGCGTTAAACGCAAGGCCAACTCGTGACACGTTTTTTTCGATGAATAGATAATGAGTAATGACGCGTATCGCAAGCATTAAATTTATCTATCCTAATGAAACATTGGCATTGAACTGAATTGTATTAGTTATTGGGGGAAAAAAAAAAAAAAAAAAATTAAATGGAGAAAAATAGTAGAGAGGATTATGAACGATCGATAAGGTGTTGCATAGAATCTGTTTGATGAAACAAGATATTCTTGAGGCGACAGAGTTGCCTGTTCGGGGTCATCGATGGCCCGTCTCAATTTTTTAACGGGCCTGTAGGGCATGTGGGTAACACGACACGGATGTAATGCAAGCCGTGCTATTATACGATACAAGAAAGCGGGCTGCAAAAAAGTGTACAGCATCCCTCATTCATCGGCGTCGATGTACACACGTGCGCTCGTTTCGTTGGATACTATACTTGCAACAAGGCCTGTAAACTTCTCTTATATATATTTTCAAAATACAACGCCCGATTTTCCCCGATCAATGACTCGTTGAACATTTTCGAAAATGTTAAAATCTTTATTTTTTTAGAAAAATTTTATTTATTATATTTATTATTATACTTTTTAAAGGAATTTTATTTTTTATATTTATTATTTTTTAAAAAATTCTAATCTTTAATTTTTAAAAGAAGAACGTTCGAAATAAGTATCGAGATATAAAAAAAAAATTCGACGCCTGTTTTTCCCCGATCAATTCTCGACTCGCTGAATATTTTCGAAAATGTTAAAATTTTTATTTTTTAAAGGAATTCTGAT